GAATATTATCAAGTATAAGATCCTGGAGGACAGACTGTACAACCCTTGGGCTCTTTACTGGCTTCTTTCTTGCACCGAGCAGTGCCAGTGTATAGTGGAGGTGTTAAAAGAAGGCAACATGGAGCAGGTGGCCAGTGACTTTGTCACTTACTAGCTGTGTCCCCTGGGGTAAACTGCTTAAGCTCACTGTGCCTCAGTTTCTTTATCTTTTTAATGGAGCTAAAAAATTATTTTATGGTTTGTTGTAAATGTAAACAATTTAACACTGGTAAACATTTAGAATAGTTCCTGGCACATAGTAGGAATTCAAAACTAGCTGTTTCACCACCACCTTAAGCACATTACCACCATTATATCTTCTGACACTTACGGCATCTAATGAACAGCATTCTCTTTATGTGATGAGGACTGGCTGATCTGGACCATACAGAGTAATTACATAAGCCACACCCCAGACAGTTGTTTTCAATAATTATGTCAGAAGAAATGAAAGCACCAGTCTATTATATTCATTCCAAACATTGAGACTTCAATTTAGGCTCATCTCTTTTTCTATTTACTAACTCCTATTTGGAAAGGAATTTTTCTAAGCATAGATGTTGCTGTAAGACAATCTGATACACACAAATCTGAGCTTATAAAACAAATACATTAGATGCTGATTGAGCAATACACATAAAGCTTCCGGTTAGAATTGCTTTACACCAGTGCTTCCTAATTAGAGAATCACCTGTGGAGCTTTAAAAAACACACAAGCCCAGGAACCCAGGCATGGAGATTTTGATTCCATAGGGAACTCATTTTAAGAAGAGCCATGGGTGATTGATTCTGACGTGCACCTCTGGTTAAGAATTCTATGAATCAGTGGCTTTCACCCCTGGGTGTATTTAAAATCCCATGCCCAGGCCCCATCCGGGCCAATCAAATAAGGAACTGAGCAATTTTCTTTTTTTCTTTTTTCCTTTTTTTTTGTCTTTTTTCGTGACCGGCAACAGATCGCAACCCTCAGTGTTGTGCCCGTACCGGACCGGGACCGGCAACGGGATCGCAACCCTCGGTTTTGCGCCCGCACCTCGCTCAGCCAGTGAGCGGCCGGTCTGTACGTGGGATCCGACCCCTCGGTGGGAGCGCCGCGGCGCTCCCAAGCAGCGCACTGTAGCAGTGCGCCACCGGGCCGGCCCTAAAGCATGTTTTTATACATTTTTCTTGTACTCATATGTCAAGGTAGAGATTCTAAATGTGTAGAACTTTATTTCTCAAAATCTATAAGTAAACATTTGTATATGTGACTTGGTAAAATGTTAGAGGAAGAACTAATTTATTATTCACTAAAGGCTAAAAATTATTGGTCTTATTACACTACAGAAAAAGAATCTCAAAGAATATACAAAGAACTGAGCAATTTTCATTTTAAAAGTTCTACAGGTGATTCTAAGCAGTCAGGGTTGAGAGTCACCACTTTAAATAATCTTCTGACAAATGCAAGGCATGATACACATTTTCAGAAGCATATCTACAGGTGACTCTTGACTAACAGGTAAAGGGAAGGTAAAAGAACAGGGAGTTCACGGATAACCCAATATCATAGTGATTTACAGACTAATTATGATTAAAGGCCAGCAGGTAATAGGGATGGGTCTACCTCTTCTAATCCCCCTCCCCATCTCTGGCACGCATACCTGCCTTCAACCAGCACGGGTGCCTACACTCATCATCCAGGTCTCCACTGTACCCTGACTGTGGTTAATGTGCAAACTGATTACTCAGCAGGATAATAAAGAGTCAATTGTGCTTTTCATGGGCAAGAACTACCCTTGTCAAAAAAGAGAGCACATGGAGAGTTAATTTTTATTCATTTTCACCTTTACTTGTCAAAGCAACTTTAACTGGGCAATGACAGGCTACTTTTAAGTCTGACAGTATCATGTATCATTACTTTAGGAATTCTAAGTATTTAAGGCTTCTTTTATGCTTTCTGACAAAATTATTACCGTGGAGAAACTATAAATTTATAAGTACAAAGTTAGAAGCATGAAAAAACTAAACCAATAATTTTTCACCATTTAATTATAATATAAAGTGTTTAAATGCATTTCTGAAGTAAATTCTTCTTATTAGTCATACCCAGTGCGTATGACTAATACCAGACTCTTCCGACAGCTTCTCTTTTGAGGAATTAGCCCTTTACTTCTCTTCTAGAAAAAAGGAGACGGTAGGGACTAAAAAAGTTAATACACCTTTTTCAGAATTTTTCCCCTTTCCTCCAAGTTTTTATTTTGAAGGTGTTCATACAGATAAAAGTTGAAAAAAAACTATGAAGTACCTTCCACCTAGATTCAACAATTAACATTTTGCTATATTTGCTTTATCTGTCTTTCTATGCACGCACACACACACACACGCACACACACACACACACACACGCATACTTTTTTGGCTGAACCATTTGATAATAGCTGACTTTGGTAGGGACTAAAAAAGTTAATACACCTTTTTCAGAATTTTTCCTCTTTCCTCCAAGTTTTTATTTTGAAGGTGTTCATACAGATAAAAGTTGAAAAAAACTATGAAGTACCTTCCACCTAGATTCAACAATTAACATTTTGCTATATTTGCTTTATCTGTCTTTCTATGCATGCACACACACACACACACACACGCATACTTTTTTGGCTGAACCATTTGATAATAGCTGACTTAACGATTACTTCATTCCTGAAAACTTCAGCACGCATACCCCTAGAGTGAGCTCTTCTCCTGAATAGCTTCAATACTATTATCACCAATAAGAAAATTATCTACAATTTCTTAATAGTGTGTATATATGTATATAGTATATGTAGTATGCAGTACATTTATAATAGTGTGTATATATATATCCAGTACATTTTCAAATGCCCTCAATTATCCCTAAAATGTCTTTATGCCTTGCATTTTTCTTTCAAATCTCTTACCGATTTATCATGGATTTGTGTGGCTGAGTAAATGTGACATACTCATTAAACATGCTCGTTCCACAATGAATGCCTATCAGTTCATGGGGGTACTTTGCAGTCATTAAAGAAAGCAACTTCCTATTTGCACAGTTATCAAGTTAAGTTTTTTTCTAAAGGTTTCAAGATGTCCTATGCTCTCCGTGTCTCTGACTGCTCTACAAAAGTGTTCATGATGTTCACAGAGGTGTTTTTGAAACTGAAGCAGCAGCAAACTGACTTTAAGAACAATTTTACCTCAAATGTTTTCCTTGTCTTTTCTTTTCACAAATCCTTAGTTCTGAGTAAATGCTATCCCTCCCTTCTACCTGAGTAAGCAGGTCTTGTTAATAGCTAACAGGTGTGAGAACCCTCCGAAAGCTGGACTGTAACCTTGTACCACCACAAACTATTTTACTTTAAGGTTGATGTGCTGAAGTTGGTGGTAATAGTGGCAGTGATGGGGGCATGGTGATGCTGGTGATAGAGGTCATGGGGAGGTCATGATGGCGATGGTGAGTTCATGGTGATAATCATGATGTTGGTCCTAATTTCAGGTCTTTTTCCAAAGCAAGTATATATTCAGAAATATAAACCATAATTAGGTGTTATCAGAATCCCTAGGCACATGTTTTATACAAGAGCCAAGTATCACTGATATCTCAAGAATCTCCTTTCACTGGAAATTTTATAAGTTTTGTGGGGTTTCCTCAGGGCATGGAGAATAGCAGGCACTTTTACACTTACAAGTGTTAACAATATAACCAGTAACATCTCATGTCAACTGGGAACACGAAGAGAGCAGGATTAATGGAGTAGGATAATGACCACAGCCATCCAAGCAGTTCTTCAGTAAATCTCAACCAACACCTGGGCAACACCTTACACCCAAGAGCTTAGCTTCATTGTTTGAGACAAGTACATTCTCTAGTGCTAACACCCACTTAAACCCATGACATGCTATCACACCTATAATCTTTATACAAAGGGTTTGTTCAACCAAACACTGAAAGGCCACTGTATTTACCTCCATAAGTCCTGCTTGTTAAGAATATTCTAGAGAGCATAAAGTGATAAAATATTTATTGGAGGTGCCTGTGAAGCACAATGTACATCTGTACATCTGTACACCAGCATCTCCAGACATGTGGGAGTACCAAAAGTCTGACTACCCATTGCTTAACCTCTAACTAAGTCACCACCACTCATTCATCTGCTCCAATTCACCTTCACTGTGCAGCTAATCAGTCAGTCCAGCGTGATCTCACCAATTATTTACATTGCTTAAATATTATGTCACCTTCAAAATTAGCTTTATTGTCCAGTTCCATCCATCATGAAATCACTACTGTGTGCATTTAAAACCAGATACTGTGTATATATTGACATTATTCTAGAACCACCTTGAGCCCACATGCAGCATGAATACATTGCTGGGCCTTCTTATTTAAACCCAATATTTAACTATTTAACTGGAAAGAAGAAATCACACAAACACCAAATGAATCTAATAGAGATTTTCAGAGAAAGCAAAATACTATCGCATCCTGAAAAGGCCCATCACAGGCAGCTTTGAAGCTAAGGACTAAAAACATGATGAGTCTAATCTTGAAGTACTTGTTAAAAACTATTCTAACAAATTCCAATATGCATACCCACTTTGTTTAGCAAAATAAATCATTCATGTGGATAATGTCAATAACGTTAGCTACCAATTATCATTAACTCTCCTTAAAGAAATTTGAAACAGATTTGACCTAGAGATAAGAAAGGTATCTATGCCTTTTTCTAGGAATTTCTGAGTTTCTCTATGTGGAATGTGAGAAACTCACCTGCAGAAGAGAGGAATATTTCTGTTTACAGTACAATTGATTTTTTTCTTTAACTAGCTAGTATCAGAAGATTTACAAATGCAAAGTCAAACATGCAAAAAATATAAAAATGTTGTTGTCACATGACGTAGGGCTTGAATCAATCACACAAATGAAAGTTTAACAATCAAAGAAAATGTTTTAAAAGGATGCGTACCTGCTCTTTGGATGGCACAAGGAGTTCTTCAATCATCATGCTGTCCCGTGCATAGGAGCTTCTGTTCAAGGTGTAAGACCTATCCGAACTGAAGGAGCGGAGGCTGTTGTATTTATAGTTAACCATTCAACAGTGGTAGATGATGATGAGATGAATAAAAGAAAATTAATGCATGCAACTTTAAGAACAGGCAAGATGGCTAAAAATATCAACACAAGTTGTTCTTGAAAGGACATCATCAAAAATAAAATCCCTTATATTTGAGGAAATGTCTTAAGTGTAGACCACTTCATGATCAGATTTTGTTTAAAATTGGGCCAACTGTGTTTAATCTGAAAGAAGATGAAATGCATGAAAACTTTGGATGTGTCACAATGAAGCTGAACCAACTGAGAAGAACCAGATGACTATAGATAATTGATAATTAGAGAGATTTTTCCAGGGTAAGACCTTATATTAGAATCTCTACCCTTTCTGGTCCATGTCTGCTTGGCTTGCACTACAGAATGGCATTATGTCTGCTGTAAATGGGTCTGTTTATAAGTCTTTGAGAACTAAATGAGTTTAAGATATTGAGAGCTCTGGTTTGTAGTTGCTACTCATGGAAAACTTCAGGAAGGAACTAGTGTTATGAATTCATCTCCCATGATACTATTTGATATCTTCCCGGCCTCAAGGAAACATTCAAATTCCGTACGTGGTTATTTTGTCTTTCCTGCAAATATTCTGTCTTTTCTTGCTCTACTCTCTGCTTCCTCACTCCTACTGTGCTCTTTTCCAGCCTCTCTGAAATCCTCTAGACAGACCCTGAACTTCCAAGAGTGCAGGTCCCCTGATGCCCTGAAGGGCCACTCATCATTGACCTCTAAACCAAAAACCAGTAGAGAGAGGGACACTAGGAGAACAGCTCTGGCATGTCACCCTGATGACCTTCACACATACTGCATAGGTCATGCAGGCAAAGATTGGGAATGCAGCTAATCAGCCTCTTGGCACCACACTTTGCAATCCTCCAGGAACACAAGGATAGAGGCCTGTGAGGAGCTGCTATGAGAGCATCTCCCACTCGCCTCCCTATCTCACCTAGGAGGGTGTTGTGAGATAGCTTTTCATCACCTCCTCTTTTTAATGAGGTATGAAGCTTCCTGTCCTGCCCTCCATGGAATAGAGCTGCAGAACATAAAACCACTTAGCTGCAGTCTAGAATTGGCTCCTCAGCAACAGAATATTCCACAACTAGCACTGTAGACATCCAGCCTCCCCCCTTTTTTCGGTGACCTTTCTGGTGTAGGGGGCAAGGGCCATGGGGAGTTAGCACCTTTCACAGCCTATATAATTACTCAACTGTCTGATCTAAACCTGGCTTGTTGTATCTTTACCAGTTGAATCAGTCAGACCTTGACTTCGGCCTTGTCTTGTGTGTGCTTGACAGGGAAAAAAACAAAGAGGCAAATAAGGAATGATTCTCTGTTTTGCACAAAATGATTTCTTTTCTCCACCACCTACTAAGATTACCCCAAAGTGGGTATTCTTATATCAATATACAGAGGCCCCTGATATTATAGGCATTATTCTAAGTGTCTATATAGATGGGTGGGTACATTCTTCTAAGACTAGAGTCTTAGTTTGCACCAGAATCTCACACGGATCTCTTTGACCCCCAAATAACCATCATTCTACAGAGTCACTATTACCATCATCAACAAATATTTACTAAGTGACTATAATGAGCACTATCCCTGCACAGAGTTCACCTGGTAAGCCACGTGACTCTGACCACTTGCACAGTCGGGACCTCTGCGCCCAAACATGTGACCCATAACTCTTCCTCCTCACTCCTAACCCCACTTCAGTTGCAAGCATTTCTTTCTATTATTCCCCTTTCTAGTTATTTACCTTCTCTCAAATACAGTAGAAGCTTCCTAAGTGCAGAAATTAACTCAGCACTGTCCAACAGAAATCTATGCTGTGATGAAGATGTGCTAAGTCTGTGCTGTTCAGTAACAGTGGCCATTGGCCACACGTGGCTACTGAGCACTTGGAGTGTGGCTAGTATGACCAAAGAACTGAATTTTGCTTAATATTAGGTAGCCATATGTGGCAAGTGGGTACACTACTGGACAGTGCAGCTTCTAAGTATTCATAGCAATGTTCCATTTTGCTTCAGTAATGTGATCTGAGAGGCACTGGGAAGCTTTACTCTCTGCATTGGACATTCATTTCTTTAAATTATGGTTCCCACAGCATAGTATGTTGACACTGGTGGTTTGTGAGACAGTTATTGTATATGTGGACAAACATTTAGAAATTTTTTTAAAAAGATACATTTTAATTTCATTTTATTTTCAGTTTTTAATCTAAGATCTGTTGATACTTTCTAAAAATCCTCTCTTTTTAAAAAATTTATATATGAGTGCCAACTGCAGAACAGAGCCCAGAATTAGGAGCTATCAACAGAAAGGTCTAAAGATGTCTTCATTTTACACAATGTCTAAAGTTCCTACTCCTGCTTATTCCAGACCAACTTACATTAGGCAGATGGTGCCCATTAAATCCATCAAGTCTCACTCTGAATCCTTAATACTTGGAAGTACTTCCAGCTACTAAAATTAGAGATTATTTGCATGAGGGTCTGGAAAGCATTAAATTGTTTTCAGCTAAGGTCAGTTATATTATTTGTAGCCATCAGTATACTGTATGTGTTAAATACAGGCAGTGTTAGAAAAACATGCCTCAGCATTCTAAAATTATACTAATACACCTAGCACAACTCAAATAAAACAGCAACCAGCAAACAAACGGCTTTTCAAATCAGGACTTTTTCTTAAAACCCAGTGAAATTTCTTCGGTTGCTTCATGCAGTATACAAAATTTTTTAAAGGAAAGAAATTCCTCAAATATTCAGTCAATTTTGCATAAGTAACATTTCTTATTATACGTTTACTTTCTTGCTAATTTTCTCAGAATCACATAATTTCTAAATTTTCTAAAGCTGAGCAGAACCAAGAAAAAAAAGCACATTGCAGCACATCACAGCACAGCACATCACGATGCTTAAGAAAAGAAAATGAGAAAATGAGGGAATGGCACAGAAACATGGTAACAGGCCACGTCTTCTTACCTGATCTTGGGACTATTTTAAAGTATTTTTAGGAAAAAAAAATAACAACAGGAGAAAAAGAAAGCAAAAAATCAGACAGGAAAAAAAGAAAAAAATGTTATGGTTCAATGAGTTACAGATTTAATGTATTCTTTTTTAAATGTTACACTCAGAATAGTTTACTTGGTAATATTCTAACAATGTGCTTTAAAAGTACTGGCTTTAAAGATTTGTAAAAAATATTTACCTCTGAGCATAACATGAGTTGCCAATGTAAAAAAAAATGAGTCACATATAATAGCAACAAATAATGGTGCAATCAAAATTAGAAGTGTGAAAGCCCTGGAATTATCTTAAGAAAAAAATTGTAAGAGGAAATATTCTGGTTTCATATCTCACTGGATGTCAGCTGATACAATTTTCTACATACTACTAATGACTGATTCACAAAACGTGTCATGTGTTATCAGAGGACGAGAAAGCAGCTAGTCATTAGATTATAAAAACTATAAATCCTTAAATAAGATCTTGAGATCCTTTATGGTTCTACATATTTTCTGTTGTATCTTGTTGCTATCTGTGATCACCTGAAATATCGCATATTTTTAAAAAGTTATTTTTCCTCTCGTTAATGACACCTGCTACAATAAGATTTTAGGGCCCTTTATAAATGTATTTAAAAAGCAAAGTTTCTATTTAGTTACATGAGGCTCCAAATTCTATTAAAGAAAGACTAACTCAAGAAAAACCCTGGCCACACCAAGGACACTGAGAATAAACTCCAAGGTTTACTTTGTGGGAAGTACCATTTACTATTAGACAATGAAACTTTTTACAACAGATGCTGAAACTATAGGAAAATGTCCTCAGGGCTCTGGCTTAGAAGGTTTAATTATTAGCTTTAAAATAACTTGACTGTCAGCAAACATGCTGTTAATCCACACCAGGAAAAAGAGGCTCCAGATTCTGGACAAGGTCCTGTTCCTTTCAACCAGTGTTAAGAAAAGTTTGAGTCAAGGTTTTCCACGACCAAAGTTTTATGCTTCTGTTGTAAGGGCTGCATTTGCCACTATTACTGTCCGTGACTTTTGGTAAGTCACTGTTAGACTAATATGTCCCTTATAAACAAAAGAATGGAAACGTTTTACAAGAAATATTCAAACACTTGGTAGACAATTTTAACACACAATATAACTTTTTCCAAGAATGCTCTCTTAAGTCTCAATCATGAATTATTCTTTCAGTAGCGAAGAGAGCATAGTGAACAATTCATACACGTATTTCTTACTCATTGGCAAATAAAATTTTCTTTCTATATAGAGCAAAATTTAATTTTGAAACATATAACCCTATTGGTTCTCCCAGTTTGGTCAGTGAGCTCACTTGCTAACATGACTGCAAAATGGGGGAAAAAAGAACACATGATTACCATGTTCAATCACATGAAGTTAAGGACCGAAAACCACAAAATAAAATAGCAGAGCATGTATATTTGAGTCAAGAAATTTCACTAAATTCACATCCTCATCCAAAGAGCACATTTTGGGATAATGCAAAAAATGAGAATGACTCTCTTTATGACAAATCGTGGTTGTTTTAAATTAACTATGAAAAACAGCAACAACAAAGTACCTGGCAGAACGGGCTCCAAGACTAAAGCCCATGTAACCCTCTGCGGGCAGGGAGTCATCGCCCAGTTCCTTAAGGTCCTGTGGCCCCAGATACTTGTCTGTGTCCCCTGTCATTGCATCTTCACCTGCAGACGTACAGAGCAAGCCAAAATCAGAAGCTTCACTTTTGAGCATGTGTCAAGTGCAGAGAAAACCGCTTCTTCAGTCATCAGCACATTACCCATTATCTCATGTTCATCTTCCCCTATCCCCCGGAAAACTTTGGTAACTGTGGTTTAGAAGGAAAAAGTATAGGGAGAGGTTAAAACAATTTCCAGAGTGAATGTGAACAGTGTAAACAGCTCCTGGTGTTAAGTACCTGTTTTGAAGCATCACTCCTGTCTCCTGCCTCCTGCCTCCCCCTCCAACCCCGGCTGACTCGGTGGGTCTTTGGTCAGTTTTCCTCACCTCACCTATGATGAGGGCAGCTTGTCTGCATGGACGTGGATTGCAAAATAACAGCCACCTCTTCACTACTGTTCTTGAAATTACACGGGGAAGGGAACAGACATTTTTTAAAAATTTTTTTATTTTTTAACAACAATTTTCTCACACACAGGATTTCAGGTTGGAGCTTATGTAAGACACTAGCAAGTATTTGTGTGAACTATAACTGCTCATTTGGGGAACCTTGGAACACATCAATTTTGAACTATTTCTAAACCCATCAAATTAACAGCTCAGCCCAGCTGTCCCAATGCTTGAAATCTACATGGAAAATAACTCTGCCTTCTCGGGAGATAAAATAGGGGCTTCAGCAGTTTGAAAGAAGAAATACATAAAATGCCATTGAACTATTAACAAAGAGTTAATTACGTAAACTACTTTTACTAGTTACATGTGCATAACGTGACCTCTCCTAGAAAAACTACATTCCAAAGTGACAGGGCAGGTTTTTCAAATGTCTTTTGCCCTCTGGGACGTTTTCCCATCCTTCTCAAAAGGTAGCCCAGGCTGTGGAAAAATTCCTTCCACACAGGCAAACTCTTTTTTGTGACTCATTTTCTTTCTGGACATAACCTTGGCTAGCCAAAAGAGATTTCAGAAGTATATGTGTTGTTTTTTTCTCAAAGGTAAGTGATTCATCTATCCCAACTCTATTTTCAAATTCCTTCATTCAGTACTATTCACAATTTCCATTCATTTAAACTCAGGAAACCACAAGTGCTCAGCTTTTAAACCACCAATCAAGTCTAAAAATACACTGTCAACTACTGTTTTTGCAAATGTAAGAACTAAACAGATCAACTTTCTCCTGCTAGCCAGTACCAAGAGATTATTTTAAGTAACTATTTACAGCTGGGTTATTTGCACATCTCACTGCATCTGAAACAAAAACAGCACATACCATCGACAACTGAACGAAAGATCTTACTCTGCGGTAAAGCCATTTCCACCAGGCTGGGCTGATCAAATGCTTTCCTGATGTTTCCAGGAACTCCTTAAGCACTGATTTAGAATCAGCCTCCAAACCAGCCCCAGCAAACCAGTCCCTGGGTTCTATTGACTCTTCACCACCGCTGCCAGGCTCCCCTCAGCATCTCCATCTACTCGCAGGCAGCTTAGGAATCGCACATCTTTCCCCACTCATCGGAGTTCGAAGATTTTCAAAATTTCAGACAAAAACCAAAACCCCAAACCTGGCCACACTTGAGGTTAAGGTCCCTTTGATCACGCCGCAGACATCCTTTTAAAGCTCCTTCTGATTGGGTTAAAGTCTCCTCTGGCAGCCTCTAGCAGGACGGGATGGTGACAGGGACGCAAGCCCTGAAGTTATTTGTATGTAAATGTGAGGACTGCTCCGGTGCAGACGTGCAGAAATGTGACACCAGTGCTCGGGCTAACGGGTAGCCCAGACGCTCTCTCCAAGTGGGGAGACTTAGGCGCTATGTGTGTAATTAGGAGGCGACTCTTCTGAGAATGAAGGAAACAGCCAACCCAGGGAGAAGAAAAACCTTACAAGAAAAGGAAGAGGTGGCCCAGGCGGGGAGTGGCAGCGAGCTCCAGGCGAACTTTCAACTTTGTTCTCAGCCGAGAACACGGAGCCGCGGTTATTTATGGTCCCTGTCAGGTGGAAGGAGGGGAGAGACGGAGGGCGGGCCTGCCCTGGAGCTGGGCTGCTGCAACGTGGGGACAGGGACGCAGGCGTGACTCCGGCACTGCCTAAGCGGCGCTTTGGAGTATGCGGAGCACCGCTGCTTTCTATCAAGAGTTTGAAGAAGGGAGCAGAAAAGCTGGAAAAAACAGCTGGTGTTCTGCTCTATTTGGGGCACAAGTTCTTTCAACTCTTCAATACACTCAGAGGGATGGACTGAGTCTCCCTTCTAGAGAGGTCCGTGGAGAGAGAGCAAGCCCAGGGGGAGTTGAGGTTGGCTGGAGAAGTCTTTATGGCCCTAGGTAGGAGGTGTGTCTGTCACCCTGCTGCTATATTGTTGGCTTCTCTCTCCCCTTCTCTGCTGCTCCACCTGTTTATGTTGGCAATGGAGGAAAAAACGAGCAAGACTGCTGTATCCTCCATCTGAGTACACTGGAGGGGTGATTTCAACTGCTACTTTTTAAAAAAGAATAGCTGGAGAATTAGGCTAGGAAGTAAGTGAAAGGTTTTGAAACTGTCTTGCTGACGCAAACAGTTTACAGCACTTCTTCATACTAGTGCATCGATCCCCTTGGAATGTCACCTAAATATACAGGAATTCGAATCTGGACACTGATGAGGTGGGGAACAAATTCGTTTTCCCTGGATAAGTGCATAAATAAGTGAACGATGAATGACTCATGTAATATTAAGATGATATGACACTTGGTGCTTTAATCTTATCAGCCTGGCTGTAAGCAACATTGTAAATACACAGAAATAGAAGGGAAGCCACTTATAATGCCTGGTATGTATTACAGACTATGCCCAAGCAAAAGAATAATTTCCAACTCTGTAAAGAGTGGAAGGGGAAGTCATGGTTAAAGAGGAAAAATGTTGAACGCTAATCTGTTTTTCTGGTCTGCTTCTGGAATTCAAACTACTTAGCAAAGTTTTATTCAATGACTGTCAATCATTCAAACTCCCTAACAAGGCCTGTGATGCAAAATGTTCGTTCCTTTTGACTTCCTGACCAACCTCAACTCTGGCCACTATTCCACACCCATTGTGCCCTCTTATTATACAGAATTATGTCTCTCCCTATAATCCCTTAAACACTTTAGACTTTGAACCTTTATGTAGGTGTACTCTCTTCATAGAACCTTTCCCCCTCTTCTTTACCTACTTTCTCCAGTCTTAGACTCTCATCAAAGTGTACTGCTTGTAAAAACATCTGCTCAGTCTCTCCCATTAGTTGGTGAGACCCCTAGATTAGGAGCCATAGTTTTCTTGGGCCAGGCATATTGGAAGTGCCCCACAGATAGTTTGGGGTTAATGATTACTAATAAAGAGATTAGTTTATTTATTTTTTAAAATCTACATGTAAAATCTACAGTAACTTAGCACTCTGTTCAAATATTAAGCTTGATGACTGGTATACAGTAAAATTTCAGTGAAAGTAAGTTTCCATTATTCTTTACCCATCCTTCTTAGACTTCAGAAATGGTCACTATGAAACCAAAAGAAACTTCAGGTGTGGCAGGAATAGGAGCTGTCAATACATTTGACCAAAGATTAATTAAAATAGCATTATGACATTAAGTAATTATGCACTTACCATTTTAGAACAGTGAAAACATTTCTTAAAAGACATGCAGTTTAGAAATAAAGCTAATAGTATTATTTCAATGCAGTTTTGCATGGTAGATGCTCTGGGTTCAGATCCAAGCTCTACCATTTACTTATTAGATGACCTTTGAAATGCCATTTAACTACTCTGAGTCACAGTTTCAACCTTTACAAAACTGGGATAAGTCTTACTCTACCCTAAGACCTCCTGGGAAGATTAAATGAAATAATGCAGAAAGGAAGGGCTCAATCACACACCTTTCTATAACACAGCTTTCTCCAGTACCCAAACATCTGAATGCATGAATTCATATTGTTATCATTTAAACGCTACTATTTATACTGGTAAAGGGAAAATCCAACCACGACAGCAAACTGTCCCTGTTCTCTACTATGTAACACAGGATCTGGCTCATCGTAGGTATTCAACACATATTTGTTGATTGAATAAATGAACAATAACAACAAAATTAACTCACCTTTCATTAAGCAAAACATCCTATAATTATTGTATAGAATGTTTTAACTACTATAGACACACTAACGTACAAACATTAGAAAGGAATGAGATGAATTTTACTGAGGGACTTCTTAACTGCTTTCTAATCCACTATATAAATCGAAAATACTTTGGTTAGTAGCAGCTTCTGACAACAGGCACAAGTGTGTATAAGCCAACCAAGGTAATTCTATTAATGGATGATACTCATTCAATATCAGATATATTTAGTTAAAAATATCTATATTACCAAGAGCCAAATATTTTCACTTACTAACAAGTATATGTGTGGGTTTATGTTTCCTAGAAGTATTTGGTGCAGTAGAATAACAACTGTGTTACAGGTAAGTTTGACTGTCTGCTAGAAAAGATGGTATTGGTAGCTAGTCTCTAAAGATACCCCACCCATCCCCACCCACATCCACCTCCAATGAACCATGTTTCTTTTTCATGCCCTTGTGTCATGTCCTTACCTGAATCTGGATTGGCTTGAGTTTTGAATAATAAAATTCAGGGAAAGTGATTTTGTATGACTTTTGAGTTTGAGTTCAAATAAACCTTTCAGGTTCTCCCTGAGTCTCTTGGAACTGGATAAAGTCCAGGAGAAGCCAGTTCCAATGTAAGAAATTTGACTACCATGAGACCGCCATGTTATAAATAAGCTCAAGGTAGTCATATAAAGAAGCTGCTTGGAGAGAATGCATGAATTTGTATAGTTATTTAAACGCTATTACTTATACTTGGAAAGGGAAAATCTAACCATGACAGCAAAAAAAGAGAGAAAGAGAGATACCCAGCCAGCCCTGAGCTGTTCCAGCCATCCTAGCTAAGGTGCCAGACCTTTGAATGAAGATACCGTCTTGGACATCTGGTTATGTTATTCCCGCTTCACCTGCTATCTGACTGCAATCTCCTGAAAGATCCCAGGAGCCTGGCTGAGCACAGTTAACTCACAGAACCACGGTTGATAATAAATTAAACCACTGAATTTAGAGGTGTGTTGTTACCTTGTAATAGGTAACTGAACCCCAGAGAAATGAGAAATGACAAGGTCCAAAGTTAAGCCAAAGAGGTCACACAATGGTTGCCTAACAGATCCCTAATAAATTAGAGTTAGACTGTAATGCATTACATGATTAGTGTAAACAAAGTCCAGAAGTACAGTGGCAAATGTCACTAGAGAAGCCCTCATTTTTTTAGCATTGACTTTATGCTTTTTGAAACTTTTGTTTTGAGCACTGATGTTATCGTTAATCCATTTCTGTCAAAAAAAATATTGAGGCTGGAAAATGTTTTTAAAAAGAACACAAAACTCTGCAAATCTACCTCAATTTCACCATTAACCAAATAATAAAAACTGTTTGGAAGCATTTTACTTCAATTTCCCAGCTATTTTATTTTCCTAGTCTTCCCTATTTTATGACTAGGCCAAGAGAAGAGATTTCTTGCACCATAATCAACCTTTCAAAGATCATTAACTTTGTCTACCAAGGAAACAATACAAAATGGAATCAGGAACAAAGGAGCAAAAAAGAGAGAACATATTAAATGATTATCAGAACTGTGCTAGGCCAAACAGGTGTACCCTCATTCCTTTTTATATTCTGAGTCAATGGTCTAGTAAGACGTGTACTACACCTAATTCAACTTCCTTGCAATCTTTCAGTATGCCCACTAATGATCCTTTTTATGCTGAATAAAGGAAACAGTTCTTGGCATAATATTTAAAAGTGTTTTCTTGCTCTAGAAGTTCATTTATTATTTTCCCCCTCTCTCTCTGTGTAAATTGCTCCCAATCTCTTTCCACTTCAAGACTATCACCAAGGAATACTTTTATTGCTTTTCCAAGGATTGAAAGTAGTTTTCAATCTGGCTGGAGACCTGAATCATAGAGAAAGTTCCTTAAGATAATTATACCAAATTGTATTGTTTGAAACTTTGCTCAGAAGTGCTTAATTTTTCCGCTGTGAATTGCAGAATCTCCCCAAGGTTTGTATTTTATAACTTTATAAGGTTGAAATTAATAGTACAAAACACCAAATGAATTAATAGTACAAAACTTCCAAATTACATGGGATTGAAAAAAGATAGATTAGAAAGAATAAAGAGGAACACAGTCTCTATACTCTAGTGATTTATTAGGAGTTGATTTCTTAATAGAACTCAGCAAGTAGTCTTACACACAAGCAGTTAACAATTAAACTCAGAAAACTTAAATTTACTGTTACTTATTCTTTAAGAAGTGATTTTTTAAAAAATCTCATAGCAAAGAGAGGAAATAAAAACAAATCATTTATTTCTAGTCTGTATTATAGAATGGTAGAATAAAATCACATAATTATAATTAACACTAATATTTATTGAGCATTTACTATGTTCTAGGTACTGTGTTTGGTGTTTTTTTTATATATATATATATAAACTATATATATATATATGTTTTATAAATATATATAAAATCTCATTTAATTCCAACAATCTTACAAAATAAAAGTAACTCCATTTCAATATAAAGAAAAAGAAGTTTACAGTGATGGAATAAATAATCCAAGATCACTTAGAATATCAGAAAAATGGGATTCAAAATGAGTTGATTTGACTCTAGAGCCCTAATTTTAAGTACTGCAATGTGCCGGCTATAGAAAACTTGGAATACTATTGAACTAATACTACAAGAAACTGGTAATCAAAATGTAAGCTCCATGAGGGCAGGGGGTTTTGTCTGTTTTATTCCATATCCAGTGGCCAGAACAGTGCCTGGCACATAGTAGGTGCTCAGTAAATGTGTGGAATGAATGAAAGATCAGTCAGTGATTGCCTTTGAAGATGGTAACTACATTACTGGGGCAAGGAGGGGGGACACTTACTTTTTACCATAAATTCTTGTACCTTGGGAATTTTATACCATGTGCATTTATCACCTATTCAAAAAATGAATAAAATTAACAAAATAAAACAAAACAGAACACAGGGATTGCAGATAAAGTCATATAAACTGTGCCCACTAGAAACTGTATTATGACATACATAAGTCTGCCAGGTAGATGTTAAGATGTGCATGTGCACCAGAAGATACCCAGCAAACATGGACAGGAAGCTTAATACTTTATGATATTCTACCTTATTTGCCTCTTCAAGAGATGGAACAGAAGAAATGAAATAACAAGGTAGGAAGAAGGATATGCACATTATTAACGTGGTACTTCTGGCAGCCTCCCAATGCTCTAACGCAGTAGTTCTCAGCCTGTAGTGTGCATCAGAACCCCCTGAAAATTTGCATTTCTAACAAATTCCCAAGTGAATCTGATGCTGCTGGTCCAGGGACCACACTTTGAGAACTATTAGTCGAAAGGATCCTTACAAATAAATGACAGTTATCTAATGGCAGTATAGACTGTACAGAATTAAGTATCTATTTTCCAGTTGGGGATTACTAGAATAATTAAAATATTATCTTCAGCAACTGAATTCAATTAATTCAGTGCAGTGTTTCTCAAATTTTTATACTTATACCTACCTACATACACACATATTTTATTTATTTGTATCACCTGGGGACCTTGTTAAAATGCAGATGCTGATTCCATAGGTCTAGGATAGACTTTGAATTTCTGTGTACAGTAGACTGTCAGGTGACTGCACTATTTCTGGTCTGCAAACCACACTTTGAGTAGCAAGATGGTAGAGCCAACTATTGCTTTTGAGGCACTTAGTTTTCAGTATAGAAGACTAGAGCACAAATCATAACACAAATATTGTACTGCTGCTCCTTCCTGCTGGTTATTATTTCTTTAGTGCTTTCTACTTGTTAGGCACTGTGTTAACTGAGCACTTTATATGTGCATCTCATTTAATCCTCAACCCTATGAAGCAGGTATTATTATTCCTCTTTTATAGATGGAGAAATGTATTCAGAGGTTAACTTATTTTTCAAAACTCACATGTCAAGTCAGTGGCAGAGTCTGGGTTAGAACCCGTACAGTCAGGTTGCAGAACCCAAACTCTCAACCATCACACCACAATGGCAGAAGATGAACAAGAGACACTACAGACAAAATATTACAAGAGCTCAAAGGAAGGCATCATATCTGATTGGGTAGATGTGGCAGAGGTTGAATGGACGATGTGTGAGTTAACATAGGCAGAGGGAAGTGGAAATGGGAAGTAGGCTGTCCCCAGCCAGAGAACATAGAATAATGGGGAAGGAATGGAAGTCGGCTGAAAACAGCAAGCAGCCAGCTTCACTGAAGTGATGGGCAAATGAGTTGTACAAAGCGAGCTGGCTGGCGCCCTGCAAGAAATCCTCCAGGGAATCCTGCATCTGGAATCCGTAAAAGAATGATTATTAGCACGAATAAGCAAGAAAGAACAAAATCCACTGGTAGAACAAAAATCCAAATGAGAAAAAGAAAGAAACTAAATCTTACCACCACAAAAATACATAATGACAATGTAATAATTCCCCTGCTTTGTTTCTGATTTTAGTAATTTCAGTCTTCTCTCTTTTTTCTTGGTCAGTCTAGATAAGGGCTTGCAAATTTTGTTGATCTTTTTAAAGAATCAACTTTCAGTTTTGTTAATTTTCTCTATTGTTTTTTAATTGCCTATTTTATATATTTCTGTTGTAATCTTTGTTCTTTCCTACTTATGTTTGCTTTTGGTTTAGTTTGCTCTTCTTTTTCTATTTTCCTAAGGTAGAAGTTTACATTACCGATTTGAGATTTTTGTTATCCTCAATATAGATGTTTACAAATATAAACTTTCCTCTAAGCACTGCACCTGTAAATTCTGATATACTGCACTTTGATTTTTATCTCAAAGTACTCTCTGATTTCCATGTAATACTTCTTTTTACCCATTGTTTATTTCATTTCCACACATTTGTGAATTTTCTAAATTTCCTTCTATTACTGTGGTCAGAGAACATATTTTCTATGATTTTAGTCTTTTTAATTGTATTAAGACTTGTTTTGTGGCCCAAAATTAAATAAATAAATAAATAAACATCAAAAAGCCAAACACAATGACTTTCTGCTCAGGTTATCTTTTTTTTTTTTTTAAAGTACAAACTCAATTTCATTCTTTACTTTTAAACCTTATTCTGTTCTCTGTGGCTAAATGTGCTTTTAAAAAGCTGTATAGCAGTTTACTGCTCCTTAATCCAGGCTAGACATAGTTTCTAAAAGTAAGCACGCATGACTCAGTATTGGCACTTTTCCAGATTAGCAATGAAAAACGTCCCCTGTGATCTTAGTTGGGTTAATAAACAAACCCATCTCAGAAAGGAGAAAGAATTCAGTGTCTTTCCTGTGAAGAGGTAGAAAAAGACAATGTTGGGACAGACACCATAATTTTTTCATATTCTTATCAATACTCCTTAACCTTGACACAGAAATTCCCCTTAGTCATCTGACTAGGATCAGACATTATGCTGACTTGATCAAATGAGCACCTAAATCTAAAGACAGAATGCTGGTAGAAAGGAGTATAAGATTACTTACACTGTTTTCATTGTCTAAAATCTATGCCACTTGTAAAGAAGACTAGACCATGAATTAATTACTGGCCACACACGAGCCCTGTGGAATCAGGCACTAAAATATTGGTTTCTACTTGCAGAGAAATTAGGTAGCAAAATTCACCGTGCAGGGTCATGCCAACTGGTTCTTTCTTCTATTCATTCTTTCTCAGCTGTTCATCTAGCTTCAACCCCAAATCCAGACCTCATGAATCTCAGCTTTTCATTACCTGGGCACATAAAGACCGTGTGTGTAGAATACAGGAACACGCTCATGGTTCCCAGGTATAAAGTATCAGGCTTGTGTACACTTTGTATACACTTCCTCCTGTTATACCCAAATTACCTATCATTGTGCTGGGCAATAAACACCCATTTATTGGCTCGTTTTGTATTTCCAATCTATACCCCCAAAATGCGTGCATATGAGTACAAGGTAAAGACATGTGGGGTCTCTTCTTAGTTTCCATCCTCATGGAAGCTCTGGCCCAGGTGATCAGGCCATGTCTTTCCATTTGTAACATCTTCCTCTTGTTTCTCCAACTCTTCTTGCTCCCAACCCTCTGCCCACCACCCTGCCTTCCCCTTGCCCATTCATTCTCAAAGTTGATGTTCTTGGGTTCACCTTCCACTCCTCTCTGTTGTCAGGATCCTAATGTGAGGGGGAGGGGGTTAGGGATGGTGAGATTAGGACCTGCTACAACATGAAGCAGGTCAGACTTCTCAGATCTGGGGACTAGGCAGGGACAAATAATTTAGAGGGAAAAAAGGCATACTTGTTTTTGGTGGCTCATATTGAGATTGACCCCTGGACCTTGGTGTTATCAGCATTATACTCTAACCAGCTGAGCTAAATGGCCAGACCAGGGAAAAAAGCCTAGTCAAAATTACAAGTTTTGGGGGGGCAAATGAAAAAACAATCTCCTGTCTGCAGTATATAAGCAGGCTTAATTTCCTGCCATCTCTTGAACATTCCACGGGCCACTCCAGCTACTCATTCTGTCACAGCTTCTTGGGGAAAAAATACACATATATACTCACTGTCTGACCTTCTCACCACTGTTAGAACTACTCTATTCAATGTCTGAATCCGTGATGTCACGGATGAACGTGACAGCTGCCGAGGTCACCAAGGGTTCCTATATCGCCTGTGCTCATTTGATTGCGGATATCTCTCCCACAGCTTTCGTTCTTCAGGTTTTCTCCCTTCATTTTCACCACTCCCTCTCCACATCCCTTAGCATTCCTCTTTCACTTAAATGTCAGTGTGCCCAGAGTTTTCTGGAACCGCTTCTCTTCTTCCCTATCATGCTGTGCCCTGGGAACCTCATCTGGGCTGGTGCCTGGTGACACCACCCTCGTCACCACCCCTGGGTGCTGAGCTCTCCTTTGCAGTTTTGTGCTTTGCTGTCTCCAATACTTTGATGGAAAAGTTTTCTCAACTCAGAGCCCCTTTCCAATCCCTACCCTTCCACCATCCCCAAATTTCTGCCTGTCCAAATATCTATTCTTTAAAATGCTTTTCAAGTTCCTTCCTGAGGCCTTTAGAGATCTCCCCTTCTTTTGTATCTCCTCCTTATTTGATCTTTTCTTCTCTTACTGCATCTCTCTGAGTAGAAAGTCTAAGCAAAAAACTAAATTCAAATTCTAGTTTCCTTGATTATGTGAATCTCAACAAATACCTTAAACTCTTTGGTCCTCAGATTCCTTAATGTAAATTAGGTCTAATAATACTTTAGATTAGGTCTACATGTAAATTAGGAATAATAATAACAGTACTAATAATACTCTCAAGTACTTTGAGAGAATCAACCAAGATAAGGTGCCAAGAAACTAACATTTACTGAGATCTTGCCATATGTCAAATTCTAGGCTAATTTATCTTATTTATCTCATTTTAACTTATAATAATCCAACAGTCGTGGGGCTCTTATCTAAATTTCCAGACATCTATGTTGGATGTTAAGTACGAGGATTTAAATATGAGCCTTAGCGCTGACTTGTGTGATCTCGATCAAGGTTCTTAATCTTGCTGAAACTTATTTTCCACATGTATAAAATGGAAATAAAATGGTTCTAACTTAGAGGAACATCCAAGAGGGTTAAATGACATAATAATGCATGAAATGGGTATAGCTTAATGCCTAGCATGCAGAAAGGCTCAATAAATGACAAAGTGCCTTGTTTATGATGTTGAGAGATTCATTTGTATGGAATCCTGAGCAGTGCAGAGACATAGGTAAAAGTGTGGAGTTAAGTCAGTAGGTGCATTCATTCATGAATGAGGACATATATGTACTCATGTGTCCCAAGAGCTATCATAGTGACTAGGACAGCTCTGCTCCTATGGAGCTAACAGTCTATTTTGAAAGAAAACAAAATTAATTATGAGTTGGCAAGCTA